ACCATCTATTTGCCTTTCTAAATGGCTACTGCACTGTTAATAATAGCATGTTCTTTGTAATGAAGACAGCATTATAACACAGAACCAGCGGTCAAACTGCAAATATTTTTCTCATATCACCGTGTATCACATTCCCCATCTTATGATTACGCTACAGCCATAACTGTTTCTCATTTGAATTTTCCATAGTCATCCTTTATTTTATTATGCTTCTCTTTGTTGTTACTAGCGTAATCACTTCCTCATATATTCAAAATTGCACACACATAGAGGAATTATAAACAAAAATAATGAATAAATGAATAGATAGATAAATAACTTGATCAATATATATATACATATTAATATATATATATATATATATATATATATATATATATATATATATATATATATATATGTATATATATATATATATATATATATATATATATATATATATATATATATATATATGTATATATATATGTATATGTATATATATATATATATATATATATATATATATATATATATATATATACATATATACACATATATATCAGATTCGTGCCACTATCGATTGGTTGTTAGACGAACTATTTGGCGCCATGTTGACTTTATGTAGTTAACTGGGTCTTTATGCTGGGTTAGCCGATCCGTGATCCTTCCTCAGGGGAATAGTTTGTTAGGTAATCATTATTGGTGGTTCTCAACCCACCATCATATATACGATAAACTTACCTACTACCGTATCTAGGTTTGATTTACCTAATTCGTATACATATAAATAAATAAATAAATATATGTGTGTGTGTGTGTGTAAATATGAGTATACACATGAGTATATATATGCATACAAATATGTATACATATACCTATATATATGTATAATATATAATATATATATATATTATTTATACAAATATGTATATATAGACATATATAAGCCTCTGAGTCTTCTCAACATCCTCATTTCTGTCACATCCAGTATCCTCTCCTTCTTTCCCATTGTCCATACTTCTGCCCCATATAGAAGCAGAGGTCGTATTATAGTGCTGTATAGCTTCACCTTGAGAGTCCTAGGCATCATCCTGTCACTGATAGCACCTAACAGCTCTCCACTTGTTCCATGTTGCTGCCACTCTAGCTCATATAGCCACTTGCGACCCTCCCCGGCATCTAGGGTCACTCCAAGGTATTTGAACTCCTGGACCTGCTTAAGCTTCCGCTCTCATACCCGGAGTAACCTAGGTACGAGGGAGGATTGTGTTATATATATGTATACATATATATATATATATATATATATATATATATATATATATATATATATGTATATATATATGTATATATATATATACAAATATATATATATATATATACAAATATATATATACAAATATATATATATATATATATATATATATATATATATATATATATATATATACATATATATATATATATATATGTGTGTGTGTGTGTGTGTGTGTGTGTGTGTGTGTGTGTGTGTGTGTGTGTGTGTGTGTGTATGTGTGTGTATGTGTGTGTGTGTGTGTTTGCGTGTGAGTGTAAATATGAATATACACAGCGGCTTTTCTCCTGCCGACAGTCTCCTCGCTTCCCATATCCTCCGCCTTCTCCCGTACGCCGGCCATCCTGCACACAGTCCGCCCGACCCTCCGACCTGATCTGACCTCCCTTCGCTTCCGTTCGTCTGTCCTTCCCTGCCCTGTGTTAACGCGTTGCCTTTCCTCTCTGTTTTATACCCCCTCCTCTCCCTTTTCTCTCTATGTATGTATGGGCCGCCGTGGTACAATGGTAACGCGCGCGGCTGTGGGCCGGAGGGTCTGCAAGCGCACGGGTTCGTATCCCGGCCATTGTCCGAGATTAGGAAGGGCATCCACTCGGGGTAACGGTCTCCACCTGCCAATTCCTGCCTGGTCTTCATGGGGCAGGCCCGTCCTACCCCTTGATCAAAAAGGGAGTTTCGTGACGTTAAACCGAAATCAATCCCTTTTCTCTTCAGACCTGAGGATGGAATCCAGGTGGAAACTGTTGTCTCATTTTCAATAAATCTAGTTTGTATATTGTGGGATTTTCTACCATGAATATATATATATAATATATATATATATATATATATATATATATATATATATATATATATATATATATATATATATATCTTTTCCGAATTCAGTGTCTTGAACATCCGACAGTAAAACCACATCCCGCTGTTTCTTCCAACATGAGGGTCCATGTAGCGCGGACTACACAAAAGTTTTTAAGAAACGGATTTTAATTTTTATTGACAATTCTTGACCCACGAACAGATTCTTTATCTTGCTGAAGGCTTCATTGGCCAAAACAATTCTTTGAAGGATGATAACTACTCAATTTCCTGTTCTCCGAGCTTGAGGTTACAAGCTGGTTATTGTGGAGATCTGTACCATTTCATGAAATGTTCAAAGGGTTTCACTATATTACTTGGTATATTCATGGAAAAGACTGGATGTGATGACATATCAGTCTCGACCCTTTTGTATACATATGTTTGGGAGTCGGTGACAAGCAAGTCTATGACTTTATTTGAAATAGATAATGAGACTAGCTAATTACATTAGCCCTAACTAAGCCAGCTTTGCTATCATTAGAAAACATACATATACCTTACAATAATATGTGCACTTATACATATACATTTTGTCCTGGGCTTGGAGGATTATCAGCTAGATGTTTCATATACTTATAGAGAATATGTACATATCACTTCTCCGCCTTTTTGAATAGTGTGCAACACAACACTCAATCTGTCCTAACATTTCATAACAGGGTCTTCACTCGGACATGTGAATCCAACTTCAGGGGTGGAAGCTTTTGTGTGTGAGTTATATTGTGCCTTGGCGGCTTCTTGATGAACCACTGCACACCATTCACATTCTTCTGCTTTCACTCTGGATGGATGGTTGTAGAGTACCTCCGCTGGGAATCAGCTTTCCATACGAGGCATATTTAAAATTTCTAGAAGTCCACAATTGAATGCCCCTGTATCAGTGTTTCCATTAGGTGCGACCTTTAGTATCATCTTTCACTGACGTGACAGCTGCTTCAGCATGTCCATTGCTATATGATGAGCTCCCTATCTATAAAGGAAATCTTGAAATTCACGGCTGGTGAGCTGGAGGTCTCCATCCATTCGAAGTCGTACAGGAACACTACAATTAATGAAGATATTCCTGATGCATCATATTGTTGCCATAGTGAGCTATGACCGGCCATCCAGACTATCTATTGACATAAACCATGAACTGTTTCCCAGCAAAGCTGATTAGATTAGTTGATTAGTTGTATGTGTGTGTATACGCGCGCGCGCGCACACACACGCGCGCACACACACACACACACACACACCCATATTATATATATATATATATATATATATATATATATATATATATATATAGATAGATAGATAGATAGATAGATAGATAGATAGATATAGATAGATATACATTCATATATACATACATTCTTCTTCTTAACGTGCCCTATCAAGGATTGACGTTGGCGACCATGATCTTGAACCTTTTTCTATCCTGAGCAAGATGAAGAAGCTCTCCTTTCCGAATCCCACCAGTAGCAATCACTAAACTGTCTAGAAAGCACTTTCTTTGCCGTCCTCTTGATCTTGAACCTTCAATCTTGCCTTCCAGAACCAGCTTCTCAAGACCATCCCCCCTAACAATGTGTCCAACAAACTTCAGCTGTCCTTGAATAATTTCTTTCACTAGTTTTCTTTCTTCCTTGACCGAATCTAAAATCCGTTCATTTGATTTCATCTTTGTCCACGACACTTTAAGCATTCTTCGGTAACACCACATCTCCATCGCTTCCAAACGCCTTTTCATCTCCGCACTGATGGTCCATGATTCGCTACCATATTTCAGAATAGACCAGACATAACACCTCAGATAACGTTTTCTTGTCTCGATAGACAGCTTAGAATTTGTAAGGATACCCTTCTTTTCCATAAACCTTTTCTTAGCAATTGCAATTCTGCGTTTGATATCTTTATCGCATCTAACGTCACTTGTAAGTAGACTGCCAAGATATTCAAAATCTTGTACTTGCTCTATCGTTTCGTTGTCTAAATGGATGTTGCATGCTGGCTTTTCTTTACTTTTACTAAATACCATTACCTTTGTTTTCTTTTTATTTACATTTAATCCTCGTCGCATGCTTTCGTTATTCAGGCTAGATAACATTTCTTGGAGATTGTGTGCATCATCTGAAATTAAAACGGTGTCATCTGCGTACCGAATATCAGAGATTAGATGTCCATTTACTTTTAGCTTTCCTTCAACAACTCTCCTCATAATCAATTCAGCATATAAAGAAAATAAGTTTGGGGACAACACACATCTTGTCGAACTCCACGCTTGATGTTAGTCCATTTGCTCATCTCCCCATCTAATGATATGGCCGCCATCTGTTCCCAATAAAGTATTTCTAATAATCTTTTATCTTTCTGATCTATATCTATTTGTTCAAGATCTTTCATTATTTCTAGCGAGTAAACAGACATGATCGCTATTGCAGTCTGCACTAGGAATTGCTTTACATTGTTTTACTCCATTTCTGAACCTTTGGTTGATACAAATGTAATCAACTTGGTTTTTGGTTTCTTCATCAAGGCTAGTCCAGGTAAATAGCCTTCTATATATATACATACATATATATATATATATATATATATATATATATATATATATATATATATATATATATATATACATACACACACACACACACATACACACATATATACATATTCCGCTTATCCTAAGAGTCAAGAAGTTTCACGTACGTAATGATACACATCTATAGGTTATGTGTTGATCTGCCAAAGCAGATGGGTTCCCAAGCTACTTTCACTTTTTCAGAAATGAGTCCAATGTTCCAAGGCTCTTTTAGACATGTGCCAAGAAAACCAGGAGGACTTTTCGACAGACTAAATACGCATGAAACTTAACCACCCACCAAAAAGACCCGTGTCACACCCTCGGCAGGCAAGGTCATGCTCAGTCTTTTAGGACCAGAACGGAGTAGAATTGATAGATTTCATGGCGTAAGCTACTGCAATTACAGGAGTTTACTATGGTTCACTTCTACGGAAATTGGGATGGGGGTGTATTAATGTATTATGTATATGTGTGTGTGTATGCATATATATATATATATACATATACATATGTATATATATATATTTATATATATATATATATATATATATATATATATATATATATATATATATATATATATATATATACATATATGTATGTATGTATATAGAAAGAGAGAGAAATAAATATATATATATACATATAGTTTACTCTCTTATCTACCTACCTTCCTCGTTCTTCCTCCATCTCCCTTTCTCTCGCCCCCTCTTTCTTCTGCCTCTTTTATTCCCTTTCCCCCTTGTCTCACAAGAATGTCTAAAGAAATTCTGTTTTTACATCTATCAATCTCGCCATTAAGAGCGTCAGCACATCTCTCCCCCCGTCAAGAAGCAGTTATCGCCTGATTTCTGATTTATGACAGAAGCAGGTTTTCTCTCTCGACGCCTCGCAGGGGATGAGGCGATGTGTCGCCGGACCCGCGATGCTGGGCTGGGGAGTCTGGCGTGTCATCGGGCCCGTTATTCATTTGCGTTTACTTATGGCTTTGCTGATTGTTTGTGTTTTTTGTTTTTATTGTTTTATCTTACTCTCACTGGTTCTCTCTGTCTCTGTCTGTCTGTGTTTCTCTGTCTCTCTCTGTCTCTCTCCCTGTCTCTCTCTGTCTGTCTGTCTGTCTGTCTCTCTCTCTCTCTCTCTCTCTCTCTCTCTCTCTCTCTCTATAATATATGCTAGGTTATATAATGGATATACATAGAGAGAGAGAGAGAGAGATGAGAGAGAGAGGAGAGAGATAGAGATAACGAGGGAGAAAGAGGTAGGGGAGAGGGGGGACAGTTAGAGAGAGAGAGAGAGAGAGAGAGAGAGAGAGATAGAGAGAAGAGAGAGAGATAGAGAGAGACAGAGAAGAGAGAGGAGAGGAGATAGAGAGAGAGAGAGAGAGAGAGGAGAGAGAGAGAGAGAGAGAGAGCGAGAGAGAGAGAGAGAGAGAGAGAGAGAGTGGGTAGAGAAGAGAGAGGGGAGAGAGAGAGAGAGATAGGAGATAGAGAGAGAGAGAAGCGAGAGAGAAGAGGAGAGAGAGAGACAAGGAGATAGAGATAGAGAGACACCACACACACACACACAGCACAACACACAGAGAGAGAGAGAGATAGAGAGAGAGAGAGAGAGAGAAGAGAGAAGAGAACACACACACACCACGCAGATAGGAGAGATAGATATAGATGATAGAGAGAGAGAGAGAGATAGAGATAGAGAGAGAGAGACAGAGACAGTACAGATAGAGATATAGAGTAGGAGAGATTTAGAGATATATATATAGATTAGATATAGAGATATGATGATATATAGATTACATATATATGAATGTAATATACTAATATATAGTATGTATGAATGCAATATTAATATTATATATAGATATATAATATATCTTATATATATATATATATATATATCACCACTCACTCACTCTAGATATATCTGTCTCAATCGTAATGTGTCTTACCTGTCTGTCGCTGTCGCGATCTGTCTGCTGGCTCTCTCGCTTTCTCTATCGTCTCGGGCTCGGTGCTCTCTGTCTGTCTCTCTAGGGCTCGCGCGCTCGCGCGGCGGGTCGCTCACGCTCGCGCGAGCGCGCGCGGGCGGCGTCGCGCGTGGCGGTGCGGCGCTCGCGCTACGGAAGTGGGGGGTAGGAGAGATGAGAGATATAGAGAGAAGAGAGAGAGAGAGAGCGAGTGAGAGAGAGAGAAGAGAGAGAGATAGGAGAGATAGAGACGAAATCGATATGAGGAGAGAGATGGCGATATATATAGGAAATATGTATAGAGAGTGCTAGGGGCTAGGAGATCTATATCCATGAGCGATACATGTATCGAGCTTTAGCGAGCGATCTATGCGATGAGTCTAGCCTGGCGAGATAGAGAGAGATTAGAGAGATATATAAGAGAGAGAGGAGATATATGTAGGGATGGGACATGACACATAGGTATAAGATTTCTATTGACAATAGTAACAGTAGTATACATACATATTTATCTAGATGGAGAGAGGGTACACACACACACACACACACACACACAAAGAGAGAGAGACGAGAGAGAGAGAGAGATGCGATAGATATTAGAGGATAGAGACAGATAGATGAGAGTGAGAGGAGATAGAATGAGATATGAGAGATATACAACATAGTAGAAGGGAGAGATGAGTGAGATGTAGGGAAGATATAGATGATGCTAGAGAGAGATATAGATATATGAGAGATATAATATATATATGATAGAGAGAGATAGGAATGGATAGAAAGATATATAGAGAGAGAGAGAGAGAATAGAGAGAGAGAGAGGATAGATAGAGAGGTAGAGATTATAGTACAAGAAAGAATAGGAGATAGAGTAGTATATATAGATAGAGTAGAGAGATCGAGAGAGAGAGTATTTGAGAGGGAGATAAATAGAGAGATATAGAGATGAATATGATAAGAGATATAGAGATAGAGACGAGAAGATATAGAGACAGAGATAGCGAGTACAGAGACGAGACGAGAGAGAGACAGGATAGAGATAGATATGAGAGAGTAGAGAAGAGAAGAGAGAGATATAGAGATATAGGCTCCAGTAGAGATAGATATATATAGATAACCTATATAGAGTAGATATTAGATGAGGATATGATGAGTAGAAAAAGATGATATGGATGGATAAAAGAGATATACATATCATCTAGCGAGCTATAGATTAGTAATAGATCTATATAATATATCGATAGAGAGGCATATATAGCGATCCAGAGACAATAGATAGGTAGATATATAGATATAGATATATATAGAGATACTATATAGATATATATATATAATAGATATATAGACTATATATGAATAGATATAGAGAATATATAGTAGAGAATAGATAGATAGAGAAGATATGCCTAGGAGAGA